TCTATCTATCTATCTATCTATCTATCTATCTATCTATCTATCTATCTATCTATCTATCTATCTGAGATTGATCATAGGACCCTGAATACATTAAGCTTCTTCTTTTCAAGTACTACACCACCAGAGAGATTTCAAGTTCCTTGCAGGGATTTCGTGTGGACTCATGGGATAGAATTCCCTGAGCCCATCGGAGACTGCACACTCAACTCTCCGAGAGTGTAATTACAGTGTGCACCATATATATCAAGAAGTATCTTTAAAAAAAAGACAGCCTCTCATGTAGTCCAGGCTGCAGCTCCCAACTCATTACACAGATGAAGATGACCCTGAGCTTCTGAGCTTCCTCCCTCCGCCTGCAGTGCTGGGGACGGATCTCAGTGCTTTGCACATGCTGGCAGGCACAGAGCCTTCTGATGGCATGTCTGAGACCTTATCCACAGTCACCAGTTCGGAAAGCTGTCGTGGCAACATCAGTGTCACTCTGGTGTCCTCCAGTAAAGCATGCCTCCACGGGTAGATGTCACCTTGGTGACATCTGGGTCAACGTGTGCGAGACGGACACAGATTATGCCAAACGCAGTGTACAGGCGAATGCTTTATTCCCGTGAAACACAAACGTTCACTTGTAAGGTGGATCCAGACACCCCATCTTCTACTGGGATTCTTGGTACACAACAGTGGATGACATAACTATTATGTTCCTAGAAATCATGTTTATATTTCCTTTTTATATATTAGAAATTAAAAAATGATCTACATAGGCAAGCTCTATTACTTGCAGATTCCATTTCTGGAGAGAAAATATGTTCTATTTATTTAGTTAGTTAGTTATTCACTAGCTCATTTACTCACTCACTTACTGTGTGTCTGTATGTCTGTGTGGGCACTGTGTGTGCGGGTGCAGGCTCCTGTGCATGTGCTGAGGCCAGCAGAAGATGCCAAGTGCCTGGCTGTGCCGCTCTCCACCTCATTCACATGGGATGGCATTTGTCACGAACCCTGAGCCCACTATTGTTAGCTAGACTGGCAGGCCAGCAAGCCCAGCGGCCCCCTGCTCCCCACCAGCCCAGCACTGCTGCTAAGGCACGGGAGGCAATGCTCGGCTTGTATGTTGGTGCTAAAACTCCACACCAGGAGATCATGTGCTCTCCCACTGACCAAGCTCTCCAACCAGAAATGCGTTCTCACATGGCGTTTGTTACAGGAACTGCCGCTGCTAGTACTATGACTTTTGCTTTTGAGCTGGCCTGACTCTTCAGATTCCATACATCTGCAGACACTTGGAGAACTGCAAAGCTAATTAGCTCCAGCATCTCCTCATCACTGTCCTTGCTACCTCACCACACTAGTCAGCCCTGTTTGGGCAGGAGGTTAGCAGCACAAGCCACTGGGAAAGCCTCCAGGAAATGGCAAAACCTTGCAGTCCTAAGGCTGCAGCCTTTCTTGGTTTCTGCACAAGCTCCCTCTCCTGTCAGAGCACTTGTTTCTTCAGGCTCTGTGGTCAGTGCTGGAGACTTTGCAGGCTCACAGAGCTGGGGAAACCTTTATTTTTTATTATTATTTTTAAAAATTCTCTGTATAAAATATTTTGATTCAGTACCCATCCACAAGGTCTTAGGTTGGACCAGGCACTGGGATAATCAACCACCAACATATATATTATTTATCAGGCTTCTTATATATCATGAGGATTTCAAGGATTTCTTCATAAGCAGAAAACAGCAAAGCCGAGTTCAAGTCCAGATTCTTCCGTAACTGAGTGTCTGTATGTGGGTGTGTCTGTCTGCACGAATGTGTGCATAGCCGTGGAGGCCCACGGCTAACCTTGGGTGTCTCTCCTCAAGATCCCAATGACTAAATGTTCTGGGAGACAGGGTCTCTCACTGACTATGAATCCATAAACCAACCTGGCTGGTTGGCCTTGTCTCAGCCTCCTCAGCACGGAGATTACAAGTACACAGCACACACCCAGCTTTGTGCCTGGCTTCTGAGGACAGAACTCAAGCCTTTTATATCAGCTGAGCTGTCTTCCCAGTTCCAATTCAGTATCTTTGAGCAAAAAGAAAGCACCTTGGAGAACGACTGTCTCTCCCAGGGATGCATCTATGCCGTGTTAGACCTTTAAAGACTGTCACTTCATTTCTGCTTTGTGGCCTAGAGAACAAGCTAATTAGTTCACCTCCTGCTAAAACTTCAACTGCCATCAGTATCAGCATCTAGGAATTTACACTGCGGTTCAGGCTCCTTCCCCTCCCCTCTTTCAAGGCCCCTGCTTCTTTACAAGGCTACTCTAGCACTTAGCAAATACACAGTGTTAAGCCATTGCTGTTTTATTTGTTTGCATCTGCTGAGAGTTACTTAATTTTATGAGTGAGGCGTTTTTGATTCATTAGCCCTCTCAGAACTCTGTGTTCCTTCTTGTGAGTTTACTGAGGACAGTCTGATCTCAGCTGCGCGAGTGTGGATTTGTCAGTAATTTTACTGGGCAAACTCTGGACGCACAGCAAAAGGCGACTTCAGAATGCTCTAGACCCTCCAAGGAGGTTCTCCAAGGAGATTCTGATCTCCCTTTACAGGAACCTATTCATATGTCCCCTAGTATAAAGACAAAAATCTAATTTATATTAAAGTATAAATACTTTATATAAAATATATAAAGTATAAAGTACAGCAACTCCACTCCTCAAGGTCTTCTGGGTCTTTCTTTCCTGCTGAGTTCAGACAACAAGCTCTGAAAACTTGGTCTGATGCAAAACAAAGTTAAACTCACATTTAGAAATATGTTTCCCCCCTTCCACAGTAAGGCCGAGAGGAATAGATACAACTGCCCTTGATCAGTGTGTGTGTGTGTGTGTGTGTGTGTGTGTGTGAAGGGTACTTTAACAGGAAGAGTCTAACTGATACAGACACAGGGCAGCACCATGTGACCTTGGGTTAGGATTAACCCATTTGCTGAGGTAAGGAAGATCATTTCTAAGGGTTTGTCTCTCTGTATATACATGTTTACATGTGTGCATTTGTGTGTCAGCTTCCTTGCTTGCTCTATTTTTTTGGTGGGGGGCAGAGTCTTTCAATGAACCAGGAACTTGCCCATTCCCTGACTAGAAAGCTCTAGGGATCCTGTCTCTGCCTCCCCATGCTGGTGGCATATGCCACTGTGACTAAATCTTTAAAACTATTTATTTGTTTGTTTGTTTAATGTGGATGCCTGCATATGTGTATATACCTGGTATTCAAAGAGGCAAGAGAGGGCATGAGTCCCCTGGAACTGGAGTTAGGGTGTTTGTGAGCCACTGGATGTGGGTGCTGGGAACCAACCCCAATCCTCTGCAGGAGCAGCAAGAGCGGTTCTCAAGCTTCCTAATGCTGTGACCCTTTAATACACTTCCTCATGTTGGGGTGCCACCCAAACATAAAATAATTTCTTTGTGATTTTCCTACTTGTAAATATCTGATATGTGACTTTCACTTTCAACTGTCTCCTATAAAAAAGCCACACCCCCCAGCTTCAGCATAATAATCATATGACTAGGTGAGGGCAGAGGACAATGCACAATTCTTCAGTATTGGCTCATCTGAGAACTGTCATGTGACATCTTTCAGAATAACTTCTTTGCACGTGTATGTGCATGTATGTGCAAATATGTATTCCTGTGTATGAAGGCCAGAGATCAACCTGATTGCTCCTCAGGCCCATCTCTTTTGTTCTTTGACACAGGGCCTCTTCCTGGCCTGGGCCAGCAAGCCCGGACACTCCTGTCTCCTTCCCCACAGGTCCAGGATTACAAGTGGATGCTCCTGTGCCTAGGATTTTTTTTTTTTTTTTAATATGTGTTCCAGGGATTGAACTCAGGTCCTTCTGCTTACGTGGCAAGCATGTTTCCTACTGAAGCCATTTACACAGCTCCAACTTTTAAAGTTTTTATATATCAAGAGAGTCACCAGCATATGAAGAGAAAATATTTGCGAAGTATGTCTGTGAGAGGGTTAGTGCCCTAAATATCTAAGGAACAGCTAGCACTCAATAGCAAGAAACCCTTAGCAAAGGCTCTAAATAGACATTTCATAAAGACTTCCAAAGGGCAGACATGGAGGGAGGGAAGGCAGAGATGCATTTGATGTACAAGTTCAGGAAAGTGGCCTAGAATGTTAAAAAGAGCAACAGAATTGAAAAACAAAGGCTCTAGGGACAGTCACTGCTGTGTCACATGAGGATTTGCCAACACTGTGATTCCCCAGCCAAAGGCCCTGAGGGATCCCGCCTTAATGTCCCCATGCATGGGCAGCCAGGAGAGTCACTGACTGGCGGAGACAACAAGGAAGCCAATCTCATGGTTTCTTACACACACCTGTGCCTGCCCAGATACAGACTCCTCCCCAGCTTGGCCACACTGAGCACCCACACTGAGCTGTAAATGACTTCTGTTTATTGCCCCAGATGAAACCCAGCCATGCTCTGTGGTGACTCATCACCCACTGCAGGTTTCAAGAGCATCTGCAAAGGCATGTGGAGCAAGCCTCCTGTGAGAGCCTTTTTTTTTTTTTTTTTTAAATATGTGTTCCAGGGATTGAACTCAGGTCCTTCTGCTTACGTGGCAAGCATGTTTCCTACTGAAGCCATTTACACAGCTCCAACTTTTAAAGTTTTTATACATCAAGAGAGTCACCAGCATATGAAGAGAAAATATTTGCGAAGTATGTCTGTGAGAGGTTAGTGCCCTAAATATCTAAGGAGCATCTAGTGCTCAATAGCAAGAAACCCTTGGCAAAGGCTCTAAATAGACATTTCTATGTGCACATAGAAAACCCAGACATCCCTTTCCTCAATTAGGATGCCTTGTCTCCAGGGGCTGATGGTCTGTAAGGCCAGAGGTGCTGTTTACCAAGAAAAGTAGGCCGACTAGCCAGTGAACCCCAGGAATCCACCTGTCTCTGCCTACTCCATTCTGGGATTTTAAGAGTCTGCTACTAAGCCTGGCTTTCTACATCGTTCTGGGGACTTGACAAGTGGCAGGCACGTTAATGGTGGCTAAGCCTCTGTTCCAACTCTACGGCCGGTGTTCTCTCTGAACAGCCACCGGCCCAGTTTCTTCCTCACCACTGCAATGGAGAGGGAGCAAGTGTCCCAGTGGCCTCCCCGTTCCAGCTGTCAGCTGGGACTGGTCCAGAACACCCACAGCCTGGAAACAGTTGTGGTGGGAGCTGGAGAGTTGGCTCAGAGGAAGGGAGCTGGCTGTGCAGGCACAAGCCCCGAGTGTGACTCTTCGCACATACTGACGATGCAGGGTGACGTGGCAGTCAATCACAGCGCCTTTAATCACAGCGCCTCCGGGGAAGGGGCAGGGGATGACAGGACAGGCGAGCAGTCAAATCAGGGAGCTGAGTCCAGCGAGGACCCTGGCTCAGTGAACAAAACAGGGAGTGATGGAAAAAGGCCTCCACATGCATGCTGCACACACATGCGCACTTTCACATGTGCGTTCCCAGGAACATGCACACACGCACATACACATAGAAATAAAGAAAAACCATTCACCTCTCTCAGTGTTGGCTTGCCGATGAAGAAGTCAGTGTTTTTGCTGCTTTTGGGAGGGTTGAACTTGGGGTTCAGGAAAGCACATCCATTTGCGATGGCCTCTAGGGGAGCTGGACCTTCGTAAGGGAATCCGAGCCCAACAAAGAGCTGTAAGACAGGAAAACAAAACACATGAACACACCAGTCACGACGGCCTCTCGGCTCCTGTGGTCTGTGCTTCTGTGGATGCCTCTGACGTTCTGCAAAGGTCTCAGGTCTCAAGGTTGGTGGCTTACAGCAAAGAGAAGGGCTTATACCAGGGTATGCAGAACAACATGTGCAAGGGCCAGAAAGGGATCCGACTTGTTCCCATCTCTTTTTCTGACACTAAAGCAAAGAAGTGTTGGGGGCTGAGGGACAGGAAGGGTGGGAGTATGAAACGGAACCCAACAATAAAACCCAAGATCTAACAATCATCTTTCTGTCACTCAGCAGGAGACATAACTGGAAAAACACTTGCTTAACTAAACAGAAGGTTTCTTCTCTCAAGCAGGGAACAACGGGCCCTTTCAGGGACTCTGGAGCCAGGGGCAGAAAGGTCACTTGGCGGTTTGATTACAGTGCAAACGAAACTGCTTTGGGACTTGGGAGGTCAGTAAACACAGGTTTTATGACAGGGTTTTCACTGGGGAGACCTCTAGCTGGCAGGTTTTGTTTTTCCCTCTGTTGGAGCAGAGGTTTCACAGTCTGCAATTCCCCAGCTAGCAAACTCCTTTCAGTTTCCCTACTTGGACGGTAGATGGCGGCAGAAACAAGGTAAAGGTCCCTAGAAGGCCCACAGCCCAGAGCTGCTGGGACAAAGGGAGGCAGCACCCGGGGTCCAAAAAAGCAGCAGTCTCTGTGTGCGCCGGGTGTGCGCTGTGCGCGGTACCACTGGGCAGGATCCAATCCTGCTTCTCTCTGCCCACATGCAGAAGTCAAGTCTGAAGTCGCTCCAGAGGCACACATTAAGTGACAAGGAGACACAGAGGGTGTTGCAAGCCTAGTGGGAGTGGGGCGGGTGGAGGATGCTAGGATTCCTTGTGCCTCCAAGCTCAGAAACAACCAGGCCATTTCCCCCCCAAAAATGTACTCATCCAGGCAGGAGTGAGGATATGCTAAAGATGAAGAGACACTAGGGCCGCAGGTGATCAGACATAGAAACAAGGAGCCCCAGGAACTGCAATTTCTCTTTAGTCTCACACTAGACTGGAGACTGGAGCAGAGCCGGTGATGGCTCAGTGACGGGCTGAACCACGCCTTGACAAGACTGTTTAGTTATGAATAGCTTTTGTCCCCTGTTTAAACCTAAGCTTCATGGAGGACTCCAAAGATGGACCTGGGAGTCACAAGACCTCTCTCTTTATTCCCTCCCCAGTGTGGCCACAGGAGTAACTCTCCTTTCTTTGCTCCTCACCGTCTCCGGTCTCTTTAATTGACATTGAGGAAAAATGGCTGAACCTACCTAGCATGTCAGGGCAGCCAGGGCCCAGATCTGACCCTAACAACCTTTTAACAGCTGAAAACACAGGATAGCATGAGGCATCTCCTCTCCTTTCAGCTCAGAGAAGAAAATGCTAGTGGGCACAGACAGGGTCTTGGCAGGTTTAAAGAGAGCTGTTGGAGCCCAGTGTTTACTAACCTCTGAAAATCAGGATCTGCTAAGAAGTGCTGAGACCCTCTTCAATTCTACATGGTCATAAGCAGCTGTGGAAGAAATGAAAGCGGCAAATGCCTACCCATTTAAGCAGAGAATCTTGGGGGGTGGTGATTATCTCCTTCAGATCAACTAATCAGAACCTACTAATTAAAGGGTTAGAGGCTATTGCTTGATTAACTTGAATGTGACCTAAGTGTGATTATATCTGAATAATAATTTGCAGCAATTCTTCTGTGCTCCTAGCACCAGAATATCTCAGAACATACAAACACTTAGGGAGCTAGCTCAGTGGATAACTCAGTTCTGGCTGTGCAGGCATCAGAACCTGATCTCTGAGCCCCAGAGCAGCAGTACACGCCTGTAATCCCAGGCCCTGCAGCGAGAGGAGCAGGGAGAAGCCTAAGGAGCTGAAGGCCAGCTACCTGGTGAACAACAGCAACCCTGCTTCAAACGAGGTTGGAGGTGAGGCTGCATCCCTGAGATTCTGTCTGACTTCCACACGCAGACTGTGGCATTCATGTAGCTGCACCCATACATATGAACACACACACACCAAATGCACACACAGATGATGTAATGAACACTTTGGGCTAACTCTCCCAAGCCTCACCATCTTCCAAGGACACTTAAGCAAACACCACACCATTTCTTGGCAATGAGTTTCCTTTTCACACTAATTAAGATGGCACAAGATGAAGCATGACTTTGAAACACTGAAATAACAGCTTTCTGTCAGCTGTCAGTAAGTGATTTTTCTCTTGGTTCCTGTATACTCCTTACTTCGATATCAGATAATGATGTCATGGACACAGCACACGTATGAAAGTCACACAGCACATTTAGGAGCTGAATGACAGTAGTCTAGGTTCGAGAAAATTCACCATCTCCAAGCAAAAGCTTCTGCTACTTTCAGTCCTCCATACACCTCACCCATGCCAACTTGTCTTTTCTCTTGATCCATCACTGGGTCTACATATGGCCCCTCCCTCCCTCTTACTTCCTTTCCCCACCTTCTGTCTGTCTGTCTCTCCTTTCTTTCTGAGGATTTCATGTTATTTCCATTCCATCCCTATACATTTCTTTACCACAGAAGGGAGAAACACAAGACAAGGAAGCATTCAAGGACCGGGGAGAGGGCCCGCTGGCTAACAGCACTTGCCCTGTAAGGATGAGGACCTAAGTTTGAGTCCTCAGCACCCTGGTAAAAATCTGGGTGTGGCCATCTGTTCCTGTAACCCCAGTACTGTGTGGGGCGGGAACAAGAAGGTGCTGGGCTGGCTGGCCCAGGTTCAATCAGAAACCACATCTCTAGAAATAAGGCAGAGAGTTTTAGGGCAGGAGCCCTTCTGTCCTCCTCCAGCTCTTGCACAGATTCTCATGGGTATAGACACCTGCGTACCTGTGTGTGCTTATATAAAAGCTGGGTGAAAGAGTGCTAGAGTGGAGTTCTTCCAGGGAAAACTGGCCACACTGTATGGGCCTAAGTCTGCTCTTCAGAAGCCCAGAGTCTAAAAGGAATATTCTAGGTGGGGGACATCTCCATGCCAAAAACTCCAACTCCACCACTGAGTGTTTCAAACAGAAGGGTCACATGCTCCAAAGTTAAGATGACAAGGAAGATCAGACAAGGGAACACGTGTGTTGTTGATGCAAGGATTGGGACACCCTGACACAGTCATTGAGATTCTTTTTCTGTCTTGAAAGGAAAAAGGATTGTTTTAAGTCAAAGTGAGTCAACCACGATTCCTTTAATCTCTCCTGGGCTCGTCTAGTTCCAAGGAGCCTTGTTCACTTCTATTATGTGTGTATGTGGCTATGTGGCTATGTGCGTGCAGAGGCCAGAGGTCACCTTGGCGTCCTCCTCAGTTGTTCTCCACATTGTTCTCTGTGACAAGGTCTCTGCTTTGGCCAGGCTGGACAGCTAGCGAGTCCCAGGATCCACCGGCCTCCTCCTCCCCAGTGCTGGGGTTACAAGCGAGGACGACTACATCTGGTGTTTTAGATGTGGATTTGGGGGCTCAAATGCAGGTGGCAGGCACTTTAGCAAGAGTTACCTCAGCCTCCGTCACCTTAATTAATGGCTCTACTATGTAGTGGTAATTAAACCCAGAGACTCATATACGGGGGGGGGGTGCTATAACACACCCCTGAGCACCTATGTGTGTACATACACACACGTATGCACACCTACAAGAACTGGGTGAAAGAAACCATTCAAATGCCAAGTTTTAACTCTCCCAGGGAAAACTGGCCATACTGCATAGGCTCAAGTCTGGTCTTCAAAAGCCCAGAATCTAACAAGGGTATTATCTTCCCACCCCAGTTCTAGCCACTTTCAGTGAGGAAAACACCAAGGATAATGAGATACTGGACCCACATAAGCTCAGCATGTATTTTTCTGATCATTATTAGTTAGCCACTGCGGGAGCATCAAGAGGGAATTTGGGCAGTGAATTAACCTCAGTTTGCCCCCCTCCCCCCAAATTGATTACTGGTCAAAGGCTGGGGCAAGGCGATGATTAACGCACAGGTTGTGCAGTCAGATTCGAGCCCCGATGCTTTTATTTCCTCATTCAGTAACCATGGCAGTTGCCACAGTGTATGAATTCTTGAGGTCCATTTATAGTCTAGAACCTTACCTAAAGGGACACGAGCAAAATGGGGCCAACACTTTTGTTATGGCATTGTTGTGAGGATTGAAGGCGGTATTTTGTAGAAATATTCAATATTCTCAGGCTTGGTGCCTAGCACTTGAAAAGTAGTTGCTCAAGTTCAAATCGAGTTGTAATCTCACACAGCTGAACATTAAAGTATGCCTTTCTACTACATAGTTGGAGGTGAGGTGTTTGTGGGCCCTTTCCTGTGTTTTTATGAGTTCATATTCTCCCTTCCTTCCTTCCTTCCTTCCTTCCTTCCTTCCTTCCTTCCTTCCTTCCTTCCTTCCTCCCTCCCTCCCTCCCTCCCTCCCTCCCTCCCTCTTCCTCCCTCCCTCCCTCTCTCCTTCCTCACAGAGACCCCCCAGCCCTGCCTCCTGACTGGGGATTAAAAGCATGTGCTGCCATGATGGACAGGTCCTCACTGTTTCATATACTACAAAACTAGCACAAGAGAGAGCTGAGTCAGAGACAAAGAAGAGTGCAGGGACTTCCGGATGGGAAGGCCAGCACCACGAAGTGTTTGCTGCTGTTCAGCCTCCCTGTTTGTTCTTGATATGGCAGCAGGGTACAATCTACTCCTAAGAATAGGTATTTCCTTCCTATCGCAAAAAAAAATCTCTACAATGTTTGGGCATGATGGTCAGTTTTAATTGCCGCCTGGACACAACCTAGAGTTACCTGGGAAGGGAGGGAGCCTCAGCTGAGCACAAATAAGCAAGCAACTGAGCACGACACATTCGTTTCTGTCTCTTCTCGACTTACAGATGTGCTGTGAGTAGCTGCTTCAACCTCTTGCTGCTGTAACTTCCCTG